GCTCTGGTCCGAACAAATGTATCGACTTTTCTTGTCATTGGCGGAATTTTTCTAATTCGTCACCTTCAATCAATCTAATTGGCTCACCAGAAAGCGCGAGATCTCTGGTTTGATTGGACGTATTACGAGCAAACAAAGACCATTTTCCTCACGAGTTATGGCGAACCGAAAATGTTGCCTCCTTGCTCAGCAAACATAATGACCCGCTGAGGTTTCAAAATCAATTTTTATCCCTCGTGCTCAATACACTTCGTTTTCTAAACGCCGTTGCCCAACCAACCATGCCAACACCTATCTCTGCGCCTGCTAGTGTTCCCCAACGTGACCACCGGAAGCTCTCCACGCCGAGCGCGGTACCATCTACGAAACGCTCCTAGCTCACAGCGTAGACGAGACCCTCCCACATGGATTCGTCACACGAACAGCACGAACATTTGACTGCACGTGGAAAACGACATCGAGCGTTAGGACCCTAGGTCACCTATCTCTCCACGATGGAAGTCTCAAGGCCGATGTCACGGCAAAATACAACGTTAAAACCTCTCAAATATAATAATTGGACACACAACAATCATTTCCTGCATATTTAATTTTAAGTGGTGTTTGAAATTTGGAAATTCGAATCGCAAAATGCTTCGTACTGACGACGAGATCGAGCTAGCCATCAAGGCCGTCCCGATGCACGCCCGCCAAACCATGCGTACATTGGCGGCTCAATCAGGCATCCGACGACGATAATTTTCCGTCACATGCAACGCGCAAAGACGTTGAAGAGCAAGACGAACCACTCGAAGCCGTACCTGACAGACATGAACACTGTGCAACGGATGCGTCATGCCGCATTGTTCCTCAGGCCGTCGCCAAATCGGACCGTTTTTGACAACATGCACTCTCAAGTGCATGTTGACGAGAAATGGTTCTTTTTGACGACGGTCAAAAAGCGGTACTACGCCTACGACGACGAAGAGCTAGCCAGTTGAAATCCAAGCGCTTCATCACGAAAGTGATTTTTCTCACGGTGGTGGCGCGACCAAGATACGACCACAACAAGAAATGCGTCTTTGACGGGACGCTTGGCGTGTGGCCCATCGTGGAAACTGCCTGGCGAAAAGGAATAGCCGGAACCGGCCAAAGGGTATGCAGTTATCGTGCCCCAAACGGTAACTGCGTATGTCTACCGCAAGATGATTCTTGAGAATGTTGTTCCAGCTGTCAAGTTATTTTTTAAAAGATGCTAAAGCATGACCAGAGTAAAGTAATATATTTGCAGCAAGATAATGCGAATCCACATAATGGTGTGACAACGCAATTGCTGCTTAACACTGGTCTTTGCAGCATTGAGGCTGAAAATCAGCCCCCGAATAGTCCCGACCTAAACGTCTTAGATTTGGGGTACTTTAACTCGATACAGAGTCTGCAAAGCCAAAAATGTACTCGAACCATCGAGGAACGTATTAGCGCGGTACAAAGTTCATTTGATAAGCTTCCACTGGACACACTGTCGAAAACCTTGATTACTTTTGCGAAAGGTAATGGAATCGGCACTAGATGCATTGGGTAAAAACGATTCCAAGCTTCGTTGTATGAGGAAAGATGCTACTACTCCCTCTGTTCCAAAATAAGTGCGCGAGTTTGAGGAGGGGGACATGACACGTCATTATATTCAGAAGTTTGCTTGACGTCATGATTGAAG